ATAAGGTGATCCAGTAAATCTTAGTACAAATGGTAGTACAGCAAGCGATAAACATAAGGTGATCCTGTAAATCTTATTACAAGTGGGAGTACAGCAAGCGATAAACATAAGGTGATCCTGTAAATCTTAGTACAATTGGGAGTAGAGCAAGCGATAACTATCTAAAACTCGTAGATTCGTCGATTGTTCAACGTCGGGATTTTCATGATATGCGCACGCATAAATACCGGCACTGGGGGGGGGGGGTCTCAGGGTCTATCTTCTCGTCAATTCCTGGATTCACTTTTTTGAGTCTCCCAAAACCCCTTTGGTCACGGTATGGAACCATAATTTGAAAAGTTGTTAATATTTAAAGCTCTCAGTTCTGATTTTATTCGTAACGATGTGTATACATTATACAATGTATTATATATGTCGTATAATACATTATATTCGTAACGGTGTGTATACATTATATTCATTACGGTGTGTACACATTATATAATGTATTATATATGTCGTATAATGCATTATATTCGTTACGGTGTGTACACATTATATAATGTATTATATATGTCGTATAATACATTATATTCATTACGGTGTGTACACATTATATAATGTATTATATATGTCGTATAATACATTATATTCGTAACGGTGTGTATACATTATATAATGTATTATATATATGTCGTATAATACATTATATTCGTTACGCACGCACACACACACACACACACACACACTAGAGAGGAGGCTTGGGGTTAAAAATTCGAAAATTTTAACATTAGGCTTATTTTGAACTAGCCCTGAAACGTCCTTGCCAGTTTTCTTGTAAGTTCATGGATCCAGTCCCTTAAGTCTTGAAAAATAAACTTGTATATCATATAAGGAATAAAATGAAAAGTTTCCAAAATTTGAATTGTTTTAAACAGTTTTCACATCTCAAAAATAATTCTCAAGTTAATCGATTCCATCAAACCTAAAACCCCCCTAATTGCCCATTTTTTGGGGGGACTTCTCTCACGTCTCTTTCGAAATCTTTTTTATTTGTTTAGGGGTGAGATGGCGCAAAAACCTACATGCAAGATTTCAAGTTATTTTGTCAAAAGTTTAGAAGGAATTCAAAAATCAATTAAATATATAAATTGTTCTTATTTTAGCACAGTGCTACACAATGGACTATATGTGCTCTGCCCACCACGGGTATCGAAACGCGGTTTCTAGCGTTGTAAGTCCGGAGACATATCGCTGTGCCACTAGGGGGGGGGCGGACTATATGCATTCTGTCCACCGCAAGGAATAGAACTCCGGATTTGAGCACTGTAAATTCGTAATCTTGCCGTTGACTCACCGTGTGACAAATATAGAAACACGGGTGCAACTGAGAATCACTACGCGTGTGTATGTGTGGTTGGGTAAAAAAAAACATGAAATATCCGAATCAATATAAGAATTTTGCGTCATGAAGCAGTCAGTGACAATCCTAGGAAATTTGTGAATCTCTCATCATGTCAAAATTTTGTTGGATTTTCTACTTAACTCTTATAATTATCGATGGGACATTATTGGGGTTTTAAACACTTAAAAAATAAAAGAAACAAACTGCTTATGGCTCCACGAGTCTCTGATAATTGTAAGAACTCACGTGGGAAAATATGTTATAATATGCTTTCCACGCTACATCTGCCTTATCCAGTGCCGAAGAGATCTTTCGCTCAATACCAGGGCTCATCAGGCCGGCTGGGATACGCTACAGAAATTAACAGTTTTCATGAACAGTAAATGTATGATGTGAATCAGATTAACCAAATGAATTAGAATTATCATAAATTTTATTTAAGTCAGATTTTAAGGGTAATAACTGATACCAGAAAACCATTTATTATCAGTTTTTAGAATTAATTTTAGTTTACAGGAACCAGCCTTCTTGTTCCAAATGAGTTCCCCCTCCCCTCCCCCCACACACATTTAATTACCGTTGGGGTAAAAACGAGTGATTTCACCCAATATTTTCAGATCGGCTCAGTACACTGAGGGTTGATTGAAAAAGGAAAAGAAAAAAAATGGCCCTGGTATGGCCTGGTGGGGCCCCGGCGTAGCCTGGTAGCTAGGGCGTTCGACTCGCAATCTGAGAGTCGCGGGTTCGTATCCCTGTTACCGAACATGCTCGCCCTTTCAGCCGTGGAGGCGTTATAATGTTCGATCATTTCCAGTTATTCGTTGGTGAAAGAGTAGCCCAAGAGTTGGCGGTGTGTGGTGTTAACTAACTGCCTTCTCTCTAGTCTATCACTGATACTTTAGGGACGTCTAGCGCAGATAGTCCTCGTGTAGCATTGCGCGAAATTCAAACCAAAATCAATACTCAGTGCGATGCAATATGTGAATGTCCACATTACAAAAACCAAGAGATGCTTTAAGGATTAAATTACTTCTTCATGTGATACTTTACCTTTAGAAACGGAATAACGAATGATCTAAGAGGATAGTTTGTGATGTCTTGGATTTTCTGGTGAAATTCTTCGATAGTTATAGAAGAAATCTGCAAGAGACATATTAAAAAAATGTGTCTAGCTAAGTGAATATCGAACTTTGACAACATCAAATTTTAAGTCACAATTAGTGTTATTCTGGATATTTTACATCAAACTTAGTTTCAAGATATTGATAATTATGTTAAATACTCTATTAGCTTTAAAACCGCTAATTTCGAGATAGCAATAGTTATGTTGAATACTCTATGTTGCTAGTAACACAAAAATCCAGATGCTATTTAAGCGCTAACTACTAATCTTAAGGTGATATTAAGCGCTCTTCTGTAAGTTCAAAATATTACTAAATACTGACCATTAGGCCAAAGATGATACTAAAAATTCCCCTCTAATCTCAAAGTGCTAGTAGACACTAACTACAAAAGTCAAAGTGATAAACACGCCTTATTCAGCTAAAAACAAAGTAATAAAATTGACTAAGCTAATGTTAATCTACACTTATGTTAAGTTGAAACTATACACTCTAAAATCATTGTGGAACAGGTAAAGGTTGATCCTAAATGTTTGTAAAGATGTTTTGCAGTGTAGCTTACATTCCACGACCATCTCAAGAGGATATTAAACACTCTCCATTAAGTTTGAATTGACTAAACGTTTGTAACGAAGTTTTACAGTACAGCAAACACTCAACAACCAGCTCAAGAGGACAGTGAACAATATCCACTAAGTTTTAAATGATCCTAAATGTTTGTAACGAAGTTTTACAGTACAGCAAACATTCACCAACCAGATCAAGAGGGCAGTGAACAATATACACTAAGTTTTAAATTATCTTAAATGTTTGTAATGAAGTTTTACAGTACAGTAAACATTCACCAACCAGCTCAAGAGAACAGTGAACAATATCCACTAAGTTTTAAATGATCCTAAATGTTTATAATGAAGTTTTACAGTACAGCAAACATTCATCAACCAGCTCAAGAGGACAGTGAACAATATCCACTAAGTTTTAAATGATCCTAAATTTTGTAATGAAGTTTTACAGTACAGCAAACACTCAACAACCAGCTTCAAAGGACGTTAAACACTCTCCACTAAGTGTTAAATGACACTAAACGTTCGTAACAAAATTACTCAGTACTCTAAACACTCACCATTAAGCTCAAGATGAGACTGTGCACGCGCTCACCTACGTCTGATGAGATGTCACTCCCGAACTGTTGCAGCGTTGTAAAGAACCGCTTTAATTTACTCAGTTGGCGGATACCGGAACCCAAGTGGGCTTCTGATAATGAAACCCCACCAGCAATGGTGATGGGAAGAGTCAAGCTAGACGATGGAGACACTGTTTGTGGGGGGTGTGCTCCACTCATATCTATAGAAACAGGGGAAGTTTCTTAATTTTTATTTCACTGACATAAAACCTAGATCTGAGAGCGCAAACAGTTTTCACCACATCCAAATTCGCTGTTGACTCACGCATCTTGACTTAAGAAAATCTCCAGTAATTGTTGTGGACATAATAGTATTTTTTTGGAGGGGGAGGGGGTAATCTAGAGCTTTTAGTACTAACATGTAATAAAACAACGAATTTTTAGCTTACTGTAAATAATTGTTTTTGTTTTTTTAATGATTTCTGCTTGATGAAGTTAAGAACAATTTTTAAGTTAGTGAACTGATAAAATTAAACTGCAAGTAAGGCTACGACATTCGTTAAATCAGGTGCTTGGTGAAGTTAGAAAAATTTTTAAGTTAGTGAACTGATAAAATTAAACTGCAAGTAAGGCTACGACATTCGTTAAATCAGGTGCTTGGTGAAGTTAGAAAAATTTTTAAGTTAGTGAACTGATAAAATTAAACTGCAAGTAAGGCTACGACATTCGTTAAATCAGGTGCTTGGTGAAGTTAGAAACAATTTTTAAGTTAGTGAACTGATAAAATTAAACTGCAAGTAAGGCTACGACATTCGTTAAATCAGGTGAAGCACGTATGAGTATCATATGTACAGAAACAGATCGACACGTTGTGTGTTTGTTAGTGTACACAAATAAGCATGCATTGTATTTTGAAAATATAAAAACAAAATGGCATTATATTGAATAACGCCTGTCAGCTTTCGATCAGTCTGGACGATCACCACCTGCGTTGTTTCTTAAAGTTCCACATGACACAATAAACCGTTGTCTTTAGTTCAAAATAAAGCGTTTTTGCTCTCTCTCTCTTTTTTTCCACGCGTTTAGTCCTCTACAGTTATTCTACATATTCTAAGTAAATGTAATATGTTTGTTTGTTTTTAACTATCTTTGTAACTCTCTTCTTTCGACTCTTACTCTCTCTTTATTTCTCTCTCACATTGTTACTACTTCCCTTAATATCAATTCTGGTAAAAAGAAATATTTAAATTAGTCAGGATAGCACTTCAAGAAAAATTAATTATTCATGTCAAACCTAAGCGAAACTACTACAAACTGTCGAGTATATATATGTTGAAAAACTTCCACTTTATATTTCATAAATAAATGAGTTTATTTTGTATTTTGTCAAAATTATCTCATATCTCATCTGCGTCCAACCCTAACTCTTCTATCAAAAGGTCCAGAGTTCGAGCCGCGTTTTTACCTGTGTGTGAGTTATAAAAGTCATTGTCAATCCCGTTTCTCGGTTCAAGAGCGAACAAAGCCCTTATAGCGGTGTAATGCTACTGAGCAGCAACCTACTATCTGGTCAGTAGATTAAGGACAGCTATACCTGAACCCTAAGAGGTCACTGAACTGACCGCTTAACCTATACGCACGTAAAGTTCCGTTAATGTTGAGCCAATTCACAACTCTCTTAACCCATTCACTGCTGATTCGTCGTATATGGTACGGTCCGCCTCTGACAGTTGAATACGAATGTACCGTATACGGTGTACGGTTCACAAAAATTCCGCGCGCGTTTAGAGCAGCCGCAGTCGATGAGTTTAACCATTTCTTTCCATCGTTGTCTTTCTTCTAACTTTTAATTGTTTATTCTGTATACCTCTGGCTTTTTTCTCTGATATATATATTTTTTTACTTTATATTTATTCATTTTTATATTTACTTTATTTCTTTAAAAATTAATTTTCAAAAAACAACTCGTACTTATGTGCTGTTATTCGCCTGAAAGAAACCTCTAGCGGCATCGAGTTGAATTAGAATAACCAAGGCCTTAAAGTGTAACAAGGTTTTAATTTTTATTTCTTTCAGTAATTTGTTTGTGTGCAATAAAACAGTCTAAAAATTAGCAGCAATGCTTTAAATATCAAAACATAGAACACATGAAACATTAATTTTGCCATCGAAAAGCAAATGCTTGGGAGATAATAAAAAGGTTTTGTTTGTTTGTTTGAAGGTAAGCACAAAGCTACACAACGGGCTATCTGTGCTCTGCCCACCACGGGTATCGAAATCCGGTTTCTAGCGTTGTAAGTTCATAGACATACCGCTGTGCCACTGGAGGGCAATAAAAAATGGTAAGTAAGTAAGGTTAGTAATATCATCATGACCAGATGATTAGAGGGCGCTTGACTCGCAACCTGAGGGTCGCGGGTTCGAATCCCCGTCCCACCAAACATGTTCGTCCTTTCAGCCATGGGGGCGTTATAATGTGCGGTTAATCCCACTATTCGTTGGTAAAAGAGTAGCCCAAGAGTTGGCGGTGGGTGATGATGACTAGCTGCTTTCCCTCTAGTCTGTCACTGCTAAATTAAGGACGGCTTGCGTAGATAGCCCTCGTGTAGCTTTGCGCGAAATTCAAAACAAACAAACAAACCAAAAACCCCTAGTATCATCAGTAATTAGGGCAGAACTAAACAAATAATGCAAAGTTATCGAAACAAAAAAAAAATGGAGAAAAGTTAATATTTAATTAAGTTCAAAGGTTAATTACCAGTGATTTGCAGTTTTTTATAATTCACAGACTTACTAATTACATCTTGTGTTGTAACCACACCCTTACCAAAATTTTATTTTCTTATTGGCTGATGTTTAAAATTGTCGCTAAACGTCACATTACGTAGAAAGTTATCACAGGTCCGTCCTCATTTAAGTGCTTGATAGCATTTCGTGCATTTTAGCATTACATGTCTGAGCTTGACAAAAGTAACACATTTATTTTTTACATATAAGTAATTATATTTATTCATTATTCTAAATGTTCGGTCCAGAGCTCATTGTGACATCTAAGATGAATTCTATCATTTGTTTTTAAATATTATAATAATCATAAAAAAAAATCCTGGTACAAAATCGTTTATAAGAAAAATTTTTCGTGGAGAGGAAGTGGGGGGTGGGGTGATATTTTATTTATATTACAATTTGATCATGTATTAGAATGCAGGGTTTAAAAGGTTATCCTTAAGCTATGTCGTCAATACTATAAAAACAGAAATATTGTAAGTTTGTTTGTTTGTAATTAAGCACAAGGCTACACAATGGTCTATCTGTGCTTTGCCCACCACGGGTATCGAAACCCGGATTCTAGCGTTGTAAGTCCGCAGACATACCGCTGTGCCACTGGGGCGGGCCAATATTGTAAGAAAGCAATAAAAATATAGGGGAATTGATTTGTCGCTACAAATTTTGTATTAGTTACTCGCTAGAGGGCTTGAGTTGCTTTTTCCTCCTCCTATTGGTGGCCCCCATATTCTCTAACACACGCGAAAGTCAAGAAAAATTATAATAATTCTGGAAACCACCAATACAAAATTCCTTCATATTCTAAATACTGCCTGAACATTTTACCATTTGATAGGAGCCAAAAATCGGGAAGTGTGGTAACCTTTAACCCAGTTTGAATGTCAGACACAAGGTCGCAGAAACATTTGTTACTTCATTTTGTATCTAACAGTAAATGATCCTCTACTGCATATTTTGCATTTATTATTTGTGAAATTCGAATATTTTGAATTACATACACAAACAGCCAATGAAATAGAAACACACATATACATACAAGCGGATATATTCATAACCTACGTTTTATCGGACGCCGTGTTAAATAGAAAAAACGATCATGAAAGTTCCGGCTAGCCTTACACATATGTTTCCTTATCTTATGGCGCTGTACACTAATAACAAAATAATTATATGAGTGTTAATTCTAACCATATCCTGTTTATGAAATATGTAAGTATTAAATCTTAAATACAGAGTGTATTTCTTCATTTATATATATATATATATATATAAAAACTGTTTACCATTTTTTAACTTTAAGTTATTCGTAATGTATCGTTCTCTATATAAGTGTTAACCCTAAAACTGGCCTTTAGTTAAGAGCTCGTCAACCTACTTCTTAAAAGGAAAAAGAACAACTCAGCTGTATAACATTAGTAAATAAATACACACGCAGTTCTGCGTCTACATCTATCAAAAAAAATACCGAATCACTTAGTAAACTAACACACACACACATAACATGCATGTACACACAATATTATCTCTCTAACAACACAAAACCTACTTAATTGAATATATTCGCTTTACTTAGTAACTGAACACGCACATCATGTTTATCTTCTGAGTTTCTTAATCCTAAAAGCGTCATGTTAGTGTAACAAAGTAACTTCAACTTGCACTGATATGGTGACATTTTTTCTTATTGACTTTGTGTTCGTTAAGGGTTGACTGGCCACAATTAACAAACTTTAGAGATGTAATTTTTTCATCGTCCGTCTTAATAACTGATTTTTGTTTCTTTTTTTGCAAAATGTCACGTCACAGAAACTTTATCAGTAAGAGGTCCAACTCATTCCGTTGAGTGCCCTTTTCTGTGCCAAGCTGTAACATCTAAAGTACTTTATTCAGTTATCGTACTGCCTTTCGTACTGTCATTCCTTCACGTTTAACACTTTCGCATCTTTGAATATATGTTCTATTTTTTAGATTTTATGCCTGTAATCCATTATCAAACTTTATCCTATAATAAAGTGAACTCTTAAAGTTTGCCTAATATTTGTTTCATTTTCGTACATATGAATATATGTAGATTTAACATAGAATACTGGTCAAAGAATTTTTTTTTTAAAGTTAAACATAAAGCTACACAATGGGCTATCTGTGCTCTCTCCACCACGGGTATCGAAACCCGGTTTCTAGCGTTGAAAGTCCGTGGATATGCCGCTGTACCACTGGGTGGGGGCGGTTAAGAAGTAACTAAATTCCTTTCTCCCAAATAACCTATTATTCTGGTCCATTCACCCATAGTATCATGTGTACCACTCGTAGGAAAAATGTCTGTAAAGTTGAATATATTAGGTCGACAAGAAATTAATGTCGCTTTTTTAGATGAAAAAACTCAAACAACTTATAT